GGGCCCCCCAAGAAGGAGACTGAGAGGGGGGCCCCTGGGGGCCCCGCTGCATCAACGCCAGCAGCAGCAGGGTGTATTAGCAGCTGTTGTTTATATGTATAACAAACCCTAAACCCTAAACCCTAAACCCTAGGAATATTAAATTAGGGTTTGGGGGCCCCTAATACCCTAGATCCGCAATGAAGTCACCAGAGGGTCGTCGCAGCTGTTGCTGCTGCTGCTGCTGCTGCTGCTGCTGCTGCTGCTGCTGCTGTTGCTGCTGCTGCCTATACACCTGAACACCTGTACCCAATACACTTAATTATATTCTTTTTTTAGCTCCTTAATACGAATAAACCCCCTTCAGTCTCTAGCTGCTCTGGGGGGCCCCCAGCGCTAGCAAGGGGGGCCCCCGGGGGCCCCCAAAGGAGAAGGGGGGCCCCCCAGGCAGCCGCAGCCGAAAAGGGGTACTGCTGCGAGGAGGGGGGCCCCCCTGCTGCTTTGTTGCTGCAGAGAAAGATTACAAAGATAAATATATTTATTGTTGTTTATTTATTTAGTTTATTTGAGTGATAGAAGGAGAGAAAGAGGTTTGTTTATACACACCGAAAGTAGTGCGTCTGTTCAGGTGTATAGGCACCTAGGGTTTAGGGTTTAGGGTTTAGGGTTTAGGGTTTAGGGTTTAGGGTTTAGTATAGAAAGTAAAAGTTGATACAAAATATAACACCAACTAAACATGAAGAGGAGCCGGGGATCTGTATCTGCCCCTCCTTTTCTAGGTGTAGCCACATGCATGCAGCAGCAGCTGCTGCTGCTGCTGCTGTTGCTGCTGCTGCTGCTGCTGCCGCTGCGCTGCAGCGCAGCACCGGGGCCCCCACCCAGCCCCTGGGATCTACCGATCCCCAGCGACGAGGAGTTGCTGGCAGTATTCCCCTCTGCGCTGTCTCCTCAGCATCAGGGGGGCCCCCATGGGGGCCCCCACGGGGGCCCCCAGGGGGGCCCCCAGGGGGCCCCCCTAGTTACTTCTAGAGGGTACAAGGGGCCCCCCAAACTATCTAGAGTAGAACTATTCAACCACTGCATGCACAGCTTCAGCCAGACGCATGCAATCGTAGAAAGGAGCCTCAAGCCGGTACCACCACAACAACAGGGGGCCCCCCAAGGGGGCCCCCAGGGGGCCCCCCAAGGGGCCCCCAAAGAGGTCCCTCAAGGGGGCCCCCACGGGGCCCCCCAGGGGGCCCCCTGGGGGGCCCCCGGAGGGGGCCCCCAGGGGGGCCCCCAGGGGGGCCCTGATGAGGAACTAGAGATATCTTTTTGGGGTTTGTCTGCGTCTTTTGGGGTACTGAGGAGACTGATGAGGGTGTACGATGTTATACAGGAGAAGTTGGTGGCGCGGGGTTTGTTGTTATTAAAGAAAAAAGCAAAAGAAGAAGAAGTGTCTCCTCGTGCTGTCTCCTTTATGTTGCCTGTGTTGCTGCAGTGGTGGTATTGGATTCAGCAACAAAAAATTATATATACTTACCCGGGGGCCCCCCCACCTATTCAGGTGTATAGGCAGGGGGGCCCCCCAGTACCCTTTGTAAATATAAAAAAAAAAAAAAAAATGTTTCGCCGCTGTCTCTATCCTGAGCTGCCCCTAGATGAATTCCTTACTGTTTTGATTTCTACAAGCTACCAACAGCAGCAGCAGCAGCAGCAGCAGCAGCAGCAGCAGCGGGAGCAGGGGAGAGGAGCAGCCTGGCTGTGGGGGGGGCCCCGGTGCCCCCCTGTCTCCTTTCTGTGGGCCCAGCTGCTGGGGGCTGCTGCTGCAGCAAGGAGACCCCTCGAGGATTACCTAAGAGAAGAAAACAGAAGAGCAGCACAAAGAGTTGTAGCAGCAGCAAGAGAAGCAACTCAGCTGCAGA